GTTTACATCACACATCCTTAACAAGCTACATAAGTCCGGATACTTTATACATTAAAATATCTTTGAATTAATTTTTTTTAAAGATGATGGTAATTAACCTATGCTAAATTGCCCTTGAAATAGAAAAAACATCCTTTTTTTTCTTAATTGGATTTTAAGAAATGCAAATCGAGTTAGTCACAACTCCAAAACAAGTACCAAACATCAAGTTTGAAAGGAAAAAGTTTTACGCAATTTGAATTAATCAAAATGAATAATAAACACTAGGTGAAATGAAATTAAAAAAACTTATTTTCAATTCTTCCATTCAATTCCAACATAAGTAGCTACACAAAATATTAAATGAGTTTTATGGGATGCAAATCGAAATAAACATGACTCCAAAACAAGTACCATCATACATCAGGTTTTTTAAAGCCTTACGTAATACTAATTTAAATTAATCAGAATCTCACTATAATATCAAACACAAGTGATATGAAATCAAGATTTCTTTTTCTTCCATTCAATTCCAACATAAGTAGCTACACAAAACATTAAATGAGTTTTATGGGGATGCATTATGCAAATCAAATTACTCATGATGATTTCAACCCAAGTACCATGCATCAAGTTTGAAGAAAAAATAAAATCTTACACAATATAAATTAAAATTAATCAAAATCTCACAACAAATATCAAAAACCAAATGAAATGAAATCAAGAAGTTCTTTTCCATTCAATTCCAACATAAGTAGAGCTACACAAAACCCCAAAAAAAAGTCCAAAATCTACTTGGCAATAACCCCATACCCCCAACAACACAACAACTATCACATCTTCCATAATTGTACTTACATTTTTTTAGTAATAAAACATCCCTATCTCATTTGACTTGTTACAATTTTCATCATTATTGTACAACAACAAATTATTACTACTATGGGTAGTACTACCACTATTGCCATTGGTACAACAACTTGTAGCAATCTCCTGCATAGTATTTCCAAAATAACCAAAATTAAATTGTTGGTTATTAATTTCTTCATAAATAGCACCATCGTGATGACCAAAGCTCATAATTTCTTCTCTTTTAATATTAATAATATCTTTATTAGTACCAAAACTCATTTGACTGCAATAACTTCCATCTGATGAAGAACAACTTGCAACTTCTCCAAAATTTGGATAATTTTGCAAATTATAATTTGCAGCACCAAAATTTGGATAATTTTGCAAATTATTGGCTATCATCATCAAGTTGTTGTTATTGGTGTACATAATATTTTGTTGGGCAGATGGAATGATAATGGGCTGTTCTTGGCCTGTAATAAAAGGCCCAAGATTTTGTTGGGCTTGATGAAGAGAAGTAGATGGAAAATATGGTAATTTTTTTTGGTAATTATTATTATTATAAGAAGAAGAATTGTTATTAGGTATTATTAATCCCATGAGCTTTTTCTTGAGCTTCGTGTTCCAATAATTCTTGATATCGTTGTCTGTTCTTCCTGGTAATTGAGCCGCTATAATTGACCACCTGCCAACATAATTGTACATGTTAAAAATAAATAAATTAACGATCTTCTCTAAAAATGATCATATTAACATGTAACGGATTATAAAACCAAATCTCCCGTAAACATAAACACTAAGGGGGGAGGGGGGGGGGGGGGTGAACTATGTTAAATAAACAAAGAGTTTATCTTAGATCTAAACCCTGTCATGCATGCAGAAAAAATTTGTCTATAAATGGAAGAATCTTTAATTAAAAAATCCAACAGACTAATTGCATTTCTTTCTGAACCTTAATTTAAATATTTATAAATATTTTTTTCCTTTTTTCTCATTTATTGAGGTTCTTTTTTTTCCATTTTTAGTGGGGACAATTTATTTTTTTTCAGTCTCAAAAGTCATCATAGAAACCTAAAATAGCAAATAAATAAATAAAATAAAATAAATCACCTGCTTCCAATATTGGCATACAAGTTACAAATAACTCTATCTTCTTCATCAGAAAAATCACCATGCTTTATGTTTGGCCTTAAATAATTTAGCCATCTCAATCTACAACTTTTACCACATCTCCTTAGTCCTGAAAAATATTCAAACAATTAATACCATCAAACACAATTTTCCAACTATAACAATAATAACATACTCAGTATAATCACATAAATAGGTCTAAAGTACTTAGAATAATATGTACACAGACCTTATCCCTACCTTTACGGAATAGAAAGACTGTTTTCGACAGACAAGATACAAGTAAGTTGAATAATAAATACCTGCTTTTTGAGGAAGTGCAATCCAATTACCAGCAGTACCAAATCTGTGAATAAAATCTTTAAGTTTAGCATCTTCTTCTGGAGACCATGGACCTCTTTTTACATTTGCTTTGTCACAACATGGAGCTCTTCCCATTTTTTCTTGTGTATGTGTTGTTTTACAAACACTAATGGTTTTTTTTTTTTTGGGAGGATTTTTTTTTAGTTAGATATGTAGACAAATGGACAAGAGTTTCTTTGTTGTAGCTAATATTTATATTAAATAATACTCTAAGAGGTGACTTTGGGTTGGTGGGGGTGGAAGGCGCAGGGCGAGGGGGTGGGGGTTTAAAACAGTAAAAAAGAAGAAAATTTGAATTTTTCTGAGTCATATAATTATAATTACAAAGTCAAAAGGACAGACCTATTTTTAACTTACTTTTGCTGAACTCTAGCTCTTGTAAAGAAAAAAAAAGTGGTAGTTGATTGGATTTTCTTATCTAAAATTTACTGGTCCGATTAATTCAAATTATGCATCGTACGACAAACGTATACATCACTTTTAATACACATTTGATTTTAGTAGCGTGCAGTCATAATTCATTATGTACGGTAGCTTTGCATTACTGGCTGACTAATTGTGTAAATCAACGATCAATCTAAGTCCATAAGGAGAAAAGTATGTTCCGTGATGGAACTATAATTTTTCATTAAGGTGATAATCAAAATATAATAAAGAAGTAAACATTTGATCAAGAAGATTTTGAATCTATATTTTATATATGGAAATAATTTTAACCTTATATAAGCTATTTAATCATTCGGTACCCTAACTCTGTTCATGAATATGTTCCATCAAGAGATTTTTCCATTCTCAAGACTTAAATCAGATACATATAATATTTTATAATAAAGCATAGATTTTTGGGTTTGTTTAAGTAAGCAGTCTTTCTCTTAAACTCCAAGAAACCCCCCAAGAGTTTCATAGGTTTGATATAAAATAAAGTTAATTAATTGACTAATTGACGGGTAATTAGTTGGGTCACATAAATTATTTTGACATGTTCCAAACAATAGGCTAATAATTTCTAGGAAGACTCCAATTTTTCTAGAGCTTATCTTAATTAGATTTATTTACACGAGTCAATTATATATAACATTAATAGAATACTACACCTACCTAACAAAAAATATTAGCCATCTATACACACTTAAGGATACTCATGTTGAATGTAAGTGTCTCATGGATTCACTTAAAAAAAGTATAAGAAGATATATTAGTAAAAAATAGTCATGTTAAAATATTATTGAAATGAGTAGTAATTATAACAAATAATACGATATTGAATCAATAGAGGATACAACACAATTGTTCACTAACTTTCTATCCTAATTTTTGATCTTCATACCCTCCTAGTTTCCTACCTAGGATTGTGTCTTCAATAAGCTGCAAGAGTGTTATATATGTTATGTCATGTCTAATCATCTCTCTGATGCTTCTTTGGATCCCCTCATATCCAACATTTCACACCCTCTCGTTGGAGCATATATTAGGGCATCTTTTTAGTACATGCCCAAACCATCTCAATCAGCCTTTGCTTCTCTCATCTTGTCCATCATGCCCGGGTGTCACGCATATCTTATTCTAGACATGTCTTCAGACTTATCATATCTCTCATCTTGTCCACAATATGCACGGAGTCAACGTAACATCCTCATTGACGCTGCTCTTATTTTTTGAATGTGTGAGTTCGTGGACAACAAAGACTCCACTCAAACATCATTGTTCATTTAACCACCACTCTATAAATTAAACTTATCTTTTAAGTCTTATCTTGGCCAATTTTCAAAACAAAATACAATTTATTTATTTTTGAAAAATAAAAAACTCAAAATAGTTCATCTAATTCCTTATGGTTTTAATTTCTTCAATATTTTTTTCCTTTTTAAAGGATTGACATGTCTCCCAACAAATGACCAAACATAATAAAATGAATAGATTGTCTGCTAACACCTAATCATGTATGAGATTTTTTACAGTGACTTATGATAATGATTATTAATATTCACTTTATTGATTGACTTATCAATGTTCTTTTTTTTTGAATTGTCACCCTTTTTAATCTACCTTCTTACAACCTTTTTTTTCCAACAAAATCCAATGAATATCCCCCTTTTTTACTTAGTTAGTACATCTTAAAAGAGATCATTAAAATGAAGCAGCTTTTTGTTAAATAATTAAGCATGGTTTTGTTTTTCTACAAAAAAAAAATGGCCCATGATTTGACTTGATCTTTTCTTGATGCTTAATATATCGATAATTCCTTAAACTTATACTATTAATCATGATTTGTTCTGATTAAGCACCTAACACATGATAAAATATTATTTATATATTAAATGCTTTCGGTTCAATTTTTGAAAGAAAAAAACTCTATATATTCTCAAGCGTTTATTAAATATAGTTAAATTAATCACATAACATTCTTACAACTTTTTTAATTTATTTCAAAATCCAATGAAATCCCACTTTTTCTACCTAGTTACATCTTAAAAGAGAAGGTTAAAATAAAGTTGACAGATTGTAAAAAAATGTTTTATTGGATGAAACAAACTACTTACTAATTAGCAGCTTTTTAATCACTAAATTTTTTGGCCCATGTTTTTGACTTTATCCTTTCTTGATTTAATATATCATGGAAAAAAATTTAGTTTTTACCCAGTGGAAATTAAGTACTAAGTTTAGTACAAGAAAAAAAAAGCGTACTAAGTAACGTGTCAACTTAGGTTTCTATCATGTACAAAAATACAAATTCCTAAGGAAGTGTTAAATCAATCCATTTCCCTAAAATCAATTCATATTGAGTGTAAATTTTCAAGTGAATCGAGTCTGAAGAGCGTGGTGTATAAATATTCTTGTCTCTATTCTGACACATCTTCGGTTTAAGCAAAATGTGATAAAATCAATATGAAAAGGAAAATATAGTAGTGAAGCAGTTATGTTGGACATAATGGAGAAGAGAGGTATAGTAACAATAACACATAATGTCGTAACCAAAGCAAAGGAACTAACAAGCTAACAAGATTGATAAGGAAGAGTACTAATATAATGCTCAACTATCTAAAAGGCTTTTATCCCAATTTTCGATCTCCATATCTTTTTATTTAGAGTTAGTCTTCGATAAGCAATGAAAATTGTGTGGGTGAATAGAATTCCACCACAACTGAAACAAAGGTCTCTGTTTGAGCTCTTGATATGAGAATTTTTTTAACTGAGAAGCGCTCGCCCCTTACGCTACTAAAACTTGCATCAAAATCGAGAGTCAAACTCGATACACATAATTAGTTTTTAAGGCAAATTGATGGATACATCGTGGGCTTTGCCTTTGTCAATTTTTGTAAAAAAAATAATAATCAAAAACCCGAAAGATTATGTTAGCTTTCTTTAAAATATATATATAATTTTTTACTAAAAAAATTCACATCCGTCCGTCGATCTTCTTAAACTTTATTGATTTTTTAATTTTTTTTTAAAAAATAAACAACGGACTCGGTCTATTTTCCTGATTTTCTTAAACTTTAATGATTTTTTACATTTTTTAAAATAGTATTTGATAAACTTTATACGATATAAATTTAAATTAATTAACAGATATTAAACACATAATAGAAAACAAAATATACTCATTGTTGGATCCTTTTATTTCTTTTCATTTTTAAATTTAATGAATGAGAATAAAATAATTAGAACGCGTTTGATATTAACAAATTAGTTAATCGAGGACGAACAGTGACGAATGACGATATCGTATTCTTGTATTGATTCTTATTTTATAATCTATGATAGCTTCATGCATAATTATATTAATTTTTTTATTGTGCAATAAAATTCAATTATTGGTCCTAAAGATTAACAAATTACCAATGAAAGGCATATTGGTCAAACACATTAATATTGTTCCAATTATGTCATATAATATATATTCAATACGATAGGACAAGACACTAATGTCAAAGAGGAAATATCATTTTTATTTTAACATTGTTAATAAAAAAGTTTGAATCGTAGCTTGGGATAAACATAAATTAATCCATAATCACTTTCATATAAATAAAATAAGTTACTACTGCTTTTACCAAGTATTTTTTTTATCACATGTAATTAAGACTAAGTCAATTGATTTTGTAGGGCTTTTTTATATATAAATTTATTAAAAAAATTATAGGGAATTAATCTTCAATTTTACATCTCTTTATTATATCTACAAAGTGATTATCAGTTGTACAATGGGTAAATCTTCAAGATTAAAAGTTAAAACTTGTTATATTTTAAGGAGTCATTTGGTTCACGGATAAAGTTATCTCAGAGTTATAGTCATGAGATTATAATCCTTAAACTATTAATCGCACATTCAATGAGATAAAATAACACCAAATTTGACATATAGACTTATCTCGTAATATATATATATATATAAATCAAACGAACTATAAATTTAATCTCAAATATAATTCAAAATATCTCATGTTATTCCATGAATTAAACGACCTCTAAGTTTTACTCATCGGGTAAGCTGGTCAAAAGTTCAAATATTCTTACAACTCTACGCACACCATATAATTTCAAAATTTTCACATAACTAGCCAATCAATTTATTTATTTATTTATTCTTATCAATATACATAAATTATATCTTAATTATATACAATTATGATACATTATAAATCCTTCGACTAATTATAATTAAAACTTTTAGATGAGTGCCACTATTTAAGTTAATTCTTCTTTTTAATACCTAACACTTTGTTAGTTCTTTTCTTAAGAATATAGTAAAGTAAATTCCTAGCACATTTACATATTGGGCTAAGCCTGTTAATTATATGTGTGGCTTTCCCCCTTATATGGGTCATTTGTAAAAAAAAAATCTTATTTTGTTTTGGTATTTAATTTTTGAATACTCTTACTCTTTTAGATAATTATTTTTTGACAAGGTATAAATTTATATTTTCACCTCAAAATATTTCATAAACTATATCCTACGCTTGTTGAAGGAAGCTTGAAGACTGATGGAACATGTCGAAGGAACAAGCCCATCAAAACAGGCTGACGAGTTAGAGTTAGAGTCATACTAGGACTAGACTACTAAATCATAAGTTATGTATAACTATGCTACTGTATATTGCAGGAGTCGACTAGGATAAGGTATTTGAGTTATAATACAATACTACTCATGTAAATAATTGTGTTGTAGTAGGTTTCCTAGTATAACTAGAATAGGACTCTTCTCCTATATAAGGAGCTTGTAACTCAATATTATAATCATCAATACAATCCTTGATTTCTCTAATCCTAGACGTGAGATTTCTACATGGTATCAGAGCAATAAAAGTTTTTCCGCTCTTTAACGTATTAGATCAAAACCAAAACAACCACAAAACCAAAACAACCACAAAAGTTTTTCCGCTCTTCACTTCATCATCTTATTTCGTCCTGCTCCATTAAACTTAAGCCAACGAATTATCTTATATGGAGGACACAAATGTCTTAGTTGATTCAAGTGATGAGATTAACCTACCTAATCACAGAACCACCTAAAGATACATGTTCCACTGGAAAGACTACTTAGGAAACTGTAGCAGGCGATAAGGATGCAGAAGACAACAATATTGTTGATAACTGGGAGGAGAAGGATGTGTTGCTAAGGAGTTGGATCTCAAGCACCTTGACAGAAGAAAACATATACTTGATCGTAGGCTGCTCAACTGCCAAAGAGATGTGGGAATGCTTGGAAGAAGCTGATTTCAAGCAACAAAAGATAAAGAGTTCTAGCTCAAACAATAACTGCAAAGTGTGAAGCTAGGAACCAAAACAATTGACGAATATATTGAGGAATTTAAAGGCATATGTGATGGCCTTGCAGCCATTCACAAGCATGTAGATGAAGATAGCAAAGTGATTAATTTTGCTAGAGGTCTAGGTTTTAAGTACAAGACCTTCAGAAATGTCATGCTAGGTAAGACACCATATCCTACTCATAATCAATTTGTTAATGCTCTCAGGGGTTTTGATATAAGGGAAGATAATGAAGAAGTGCCTCAACAAAATCATAACATGGCATTCTCTTCCCAAAGAGGCAGAGGAAGAGAAAACTACTCTCAAAGAAGAGGAAACAATAATTTCAATTCTAAAGGAAGAGGCTTTAAGCCTGCTGGACAAGGAACAGGTTCTTATAACACCAAAAACGGACTAGGTCCTCAGAACAGTTCTTCAAGTGGAAGTCATGAGAGGAACAATATTGATGCGTGTCAAATCTGTGGTAGGAATAACCATACTGCACTTAAGTGTTTCTACAGGTGGGATTACTCTTACCAAGCCGCAGATGAGCTATCACAAGCATTGACTGCTACTAATCTACAAAACACTACTGATGACACATTGTATGTGGACTCTGGAGCAAGTAGTCATATGACACATAACTCAGGTATCCTAACTGATCTTAAACACTACAATGGAACAGATAAAATCATTATTGGGAATGGATCAAAGTTAGATATAACACATGTTGGAAACATATCTGGACCAAGTCTAAAGCTAAAAGAAGTTCTTGTAGTCCCTAAGATTAATAAATATTTACTCTCAGTTAGTAAGCTTGCAAAGGATAATTGTTGCACTCTTGAATTTGATAAAACTAACTTTGTTGTAAAGGACAAGAAAACAAGGACACTACTGGCCAAGGGAACTAAAAGGAATGGACTCTATGCTTTGGAAGATAACAATCTCTATGCTTTGACTATTGCACACGATTGGAACACATCGAATAACATATGGCATACTAGATTAGGACACCCTAGTTTGAAGTTTTTACAAGTTTTGAATAGTAATAGTTGCATCAATAGTAGTAGTTGGAATAAAATGCCTACTGTTTGTTCCAGTTGTCAGTTGGGAAAGAGTTGTAAACTTCCATTTGGTTTGAGAAATAAAATTGAGAAAGAACCTTTATTGAAAATACATTGTGATTTATGGGGACCTGCTCCAGTTGAATCTTCCCAACAGATGAAATATTATGTTGTTTTTGTTGATGATCACACAAGATATACATGGATTTATCCACTGAAAAAGAAATCTGAATTCTTTGAGGCCTTTCTAAAATTCCAGAAAATGGTGGAAAAATATTTTTCTAAAGAAATTAAGACTTTTCAGTGTGATGGAGGTGGTGAGTTTATCAAACAAACTTCATTAAGCATTTGGAAGATTGTGACATCGTGAGACATATTTCATGTCCTAACACACCTGAACAAAATGGAGTTGCAGAGAGAAAACATAAGCATATTGTGGAGACTGGCTTAACTCTACTACTTCATGCTAATCTACCTTTGTTTCTTTGGGTTGAGGCTTTCCTCACTGCAGTATTTCTCATCAATAGACTGCCATCCTCAGTAGTAAAGATGGTGACTCCATTTGTTTAGTTGTATGGGGAACAACCTGATTACAACAGTCTAAAAGTGTTTAGGTGTAGATGTTTTCCATATATCAAGGGTAGCAACAAATTCAGTCCAAAAACCTACCCTTGTATGTTCATAGGGTACAACAACTTACACAAAGGATATAGATGTTATCATCCCCCTACAAGAAGGGTTTACATATCCAGACATGTTGTGTTTGATGAAAACACGTTACCCTATGCGTTTCCAAAGCAATCTCAGACTAACGTTAATATCTCACTTCATCTTGCTACTTTTGTTGAATTTTTTTCTAAATTGCA